ATGTTGGGAGCTGACTGCCAAATTCTTTAGGAGCAGGCTGCTGAAATAAGTTGTTCTGCTTCAAAGGATAAGTTATAGGTATGAACTATATTCTAACTTATTGATAGGCTTTAGCCCAAGTATTAACACATAAGTATGAAGCATATAGACTTATAGAAATAGGTCACTTTGATGAATAGAAACAGGGAGTTGATTCCAGTGAATTGGAAGGTTCACTAGACAGTTTTAGTGAGCAAGCTGTTTTGCTGTGAAATTGTGAGGGTGAGTGAAAACTGAAGTGTATGTTAGGAGCAAAATCTAAAAGGTGACATGATGTGAATTTTCTCGCACATAAAAAGATTGTAATATAGTGGTGTAAGTACGAGTATCGTCTCCACAGGGACGGACAAAAGGGAATCAAAGATTAACTAAATTCAGCGATTAAAAAGAAAATAAAATAAAAGCGTCATGCGAGATTGGTTGGTTTGGAAAATAAAACTAATGCGAACAATTAAACTAGGGGGTTCTTTCTAATTAATGACGAAGGGAACAAGGATCGATTTCGGGGTAACCAGATTTCTGGCAGATCAGGCCTAATTACATGAAATTAATTTAATTGAGCCTAGCTAATCATTACTAAGTTCTTACCGCTCTCGCGGCGTAGAGTAAAATAATTTAGGGGACCAGGCTGATCTCTCATGCGACAGGATCCTAAATTATTGCCAAGACGAGCGAGCTTACGGCCCCTTAATCGCTACTAATCTCTTAGCGAACGATTAAGTGTGTGTGAATGTGTCCTAGAACAAATTAGATCTCTCTTAATTTATTCTACATGCAATTGTAATTCTAGTCGCGATTCTAGGTTACAAAAGATATCAATTAAATTATTCAAACACAAATTAAATGGCATTCATGCAATTAAACCGAAAAGAATCTAGCCATACATCATGATTAACCCCTTCATCAATCCCAAATCCCTAATTAAAACTACTCACAATTCATAATTGAAGAATCAATAGAATTGGGAAGAATAGAATTAATTGTCATTAATTAAAAAGGTGGAACTTACAAAGAATACCAAAAGATTGATGAACAAGGCTGAAAAGCCCTCTAAATTTCGTGCTAGGCACTCTCTCTAAGCTCCCCCCTTGAAAACGGGGGTTTACAGACTGTTTAAATAGAAAAATCGGGTGAAATTTGAGCTGAATTAGGATTTTCGGAGCCAGACACGATGCCAGGGACGATCGTGCCTTCGATCGTGCCTCCGGAGCAAAAACGCGCATTTTGGGCAGGCACGATCGTGCCTCCCTCCAGGCACGATCGTGCCTGGCTGGCAGTAACTCCGCAGTGCTTTTCTCTTCAGGCACGATCGTGTCTAACTTTGAGGGCACGATCGTGCCTACTTAACTTCCGAATTTGACAAAACTTCCTTCATGAAAGTTGTAGATAATGAAGTCCTCTATCTACCCCAATTTGCCGAATGTGATTGGAATCATCCAATCAAGAGATATGATCAAAACGATGGAAGATTTTTTTCTGAAATCGCAGCAGAGATCATCTGACTTCATCGTTTGTTTTCACCTTCTTCCTTTCAGATTCTCGCAAAGGTGTCTTCATATCATTTGTTGCCATTGAAGTTAGCTTTCATATGGAACTTGAATCGTGTCCATTGGTTGTTTCTACAAAGAGATATGCTTGAACGATTGACATAAGGTCATCCTGAATGCCGTTTTCAAGCTTTATTCATCTTCTTTTGATCTCATAAGTCATAACCAATCCTAGAGCTCTTTTGTCATCAAATCTTCATCGTAAACCTCCCGCTGACCTCCAAAGCTCTCAATCCACTCTCGAATGCATCTCGAATCATCCAGATTGCTCCTCAAGTGCCGGTGTCGGGCTCAAATTCCCTGATTTTGACTACAAACAACACAAAACTCGAACCAACGCCCGGTAAACATAACTTGAGCTAAAATTGAGACTTGTAACACCTTAAAACTAGGAAAATCATCAAAATCCGATCTCAACACGCATCAAATACGTGTCAAAATACGGACTTATCATGACACAAGATGTATCCTGGTTCAGAGGTGATGTAATCCTCCTACATCCAGTCCCACCCTATTTCAGATGAATTTCCACCAAATTAATATCCCATTACATTTAGTGTCCAATCTACCCTTGGTCCAGGCGTAGATTGTGAGCTTTTCACAAGGAATTTGAACACCATTCCAAACTACTCAGTCCTCCCAAGGTTTTTCACTAATGGCATTGACTTTCCAAGAACTACTCATGTCCTTGTCCTTCTCACCTTCTGGATTTGAATATAAAGCCCTCCAGAATGTCTAACACTAATGTAGTTTGCATGAGTGTAAAGCTAAACTACCAAATAATCTAAGCTCTAATGGTTTGTATGAATTATAGTTATTCTAAGAGAATTAGATGAGTGGGGTGGTAGCTGAAGTGGTGAAGGAAAAAATCAGCTGGCTGGATGTGATCTTGTAAAATTTGATTCCCTTCAATCCCACTTGGCTCCTCTCGGTTTTCCACACTTGGTCTTCCCACACTCCTGTATTTATAGTCTTGTTGTTGAATCTCCACCGTTGGCTGAGGAGTTCAATCTTGATCGTTGCTTGATCTACTTGCTTTGTTCCACTTGACTGAGGAGAGCATGGTTGGTTTTTGTCTTCTTGTGACACGGATCAATATCATCACTCAACATGTTTCCTCATTTCAATGCAGAGATAAAGAGGATTTATTTTTATTTTATGTATGCGTAGAAAATTAGTATAAAAGCTGAGTGTTGTTCAATGCTTCCTTACAAATAAGAATACTTGATTTTAGTAAAATAACTTTATAAGAAATTTCATAAGGTGGTAAAAATTTCTTATAAAATTGCTTTAATCTTTTTGTCATTTTGACTGCAAGTTGGTCTTTTGTTTAATTGTTTTTATGCTAAGAGAACAGTAGTGGATTGTTTGGTTAAGTCAGCTGAAAAACAAGATTGGGAGGCGACTGCTTTGTTATCAGCAGGCTGTTGATTCTTGTTTTTCCAGATGACTGCCAAATCACAAAGGATTTCAGTTGACTCTTTTCGTACATTTTCTTTTTTATTCTTTCCTTTTTGTTTTATGGTACGTTTTTTCTCTTTTTAGTACTCTTTGTTTTTCTTGAGTACTTTATCACTATTATAGGAACAAATTACAATAAACAAAGTAGAACATAGCAAGAGATACTAGACTAGTACAGACATATAATTATTAAATCAACCTTGTATTTTTAGAAGTGGATTATTAACCCCCTAGGCTTTTATTATAGATGGAATCTCCCCCTTCCGTTAAACTTAAGTTATTTGATTGTTATTTGTTAGAGGAATTTGAGAAAATGTCCTCGATTAAACTAAACTACGAAGTATAAAACAAGAGTTTCTCAGGTTTATTCCAAATAATATTCGAACAATGAATTGAGGGTTTTGTTTCCTAGACATGGTTGTTGCACGCTTATTTTTCTATGCATTTATGCTTTTCTTCTTGTTTTTGTTCCAACTTCCCATACTCATTCCTACATCAAAAGAAAATTGAAGAACCTTGGTTCACAAAGGGAGTGGTTTAGCCATTTTGATCTATGTAGATGCAATGTATAGTTTACCAAATTGGCATTGATTTTGGGTAAGATGCTTTCTCAAAAGAGTTTTTTATATGCCTAATTTGATTTAATCTAAAGGACATAAGTACTTTGTTTGGGGTTACAGTTTTAAAATTTTGAAAATACATTATACAAGTATACAACTCCACAATAAATTAAAGTATACTTTTAATACTCGTTTGCTTCAAACTATAAAGGGTCATACTCTGCATCCTGATAAATACATAAATGAACTTGATATTTTGTTTCTTCCTAGTATAAGAACTGGAGCTGAAATACCATTTAAGCTTTATGCATTGTATTGTGTTTCTTGGTATTTGTTGATAAGCGAAACTTGTGTAGAATGCCTCACAGAGTTCGAGGAAAATGACTCATAGAGCACAAGGGAAATGCCTTATTGGAACATGCTCTAAATTCCTCAGAATGGTACATTAACTACGTTTGAAAATGGTCTACACAAATTTACTAGGGAGCAAGGAAAAAGCATAACATACATGCTGATCCTCATTATATGTTAGTTCAAGTTCAGCTTCATCCTATTCATCATAAGTTGTACAGTCATTTGAGGCTTCGTTACTAATACACGTTCAATCAGAATCATTCCTATCGCTAAATGGATAATTATCATAATCACATTCATTGTTATTCTCATTCCTCACCATACTCACATCATTACATCTTCTTGTACGTTCACTTCTACGCTTACATGAATGAAGAAAAAATGGAGTACCTTATATCCATTCAGATATAACATCAAGATTCTCTATAGGCATGTGCAAGAACTCTGCATCATGTGAATCAAAACATATATCATCTTCATTTTGCGTTGCTTGAAAATCCATAAATCTACAATATAAGGGAGTAAAGAATTGAATTTTCTTTATATTTAACAAAAGAAAAGGAAGCGACATATAGAGAGATCAAACGATGAAAGAAGTTATCTAAATCTTAAAACTTAATTCATCTGTGTATTTGAAGAAAGAACACAGACATGAGTGAATATATGTAACAAATAATCACTGAATAAGGATATTTTAGTCAACACAGTAACCATTTGACGATGCTTCTTATTGAACCATTGATTTATCCGTAAATTTCAACAATAATTGAAGCTTAGGGGACAAATAATTGACTTTTAAAAATATAAGGTTGAACTAATAATTATGATAATCACAATTTTCTTAATTAAAAAGGACCAAAACTACAATTTTTTTGTTCATAACAACAGATTTGCAATCTTTCGAAAATAAAACCACCGATCTGCAATACCTAATTACCTAATTACCCTTCAAGTAAGGAATTTTGAAAAGTCCGACTTCAAAGAACATTCCAGAACCCGCTAGAAACAGTTCCTCGTATATAAATACAACTCTTTCCATACCCTAATGCGTACATTTGTTCGCCTTGATTTCGTTTCAGCCTCCTCTCTATATTCAACTCGATCTATTCGAAATACTAGTCTCCTGAACTACAATGGCAGGGAAAGGTGAAGGTCCGGCGATCGGTATAGATCTCGGCACTACGTACTCGTGCGTTGGTGTCTGGCAACATGATCGTGTTGAGATCATCGCCAACGACCAGGGTAACCGTACGACGCCGTCGTATGTGGCGTTTACTGACTCTGAGCGTCTCATTGGTGATGCTGCCAAGAATCAGGTCGCCATGAATCCCATCAACACAGTTTTTGGTATGTCTACTTCCAAGTCCATGTTTTTTATTTGTCTCTTAGATTTCAATATGCCATTTCATTCTATAAATGGATGGCCGGCAAAGTTGTGTCTTCTTTACTGGTTTTGTTGCCGAAGCAGATCTGTCTTTGTTTTTATTAGATCTGGTCATCTATTGTTGAGTTACACGCCGTGTGCAATAACTTCCTGTCTTTTTTTTAATAATACTATTGTGTGATGTGTGTATTACATTATTAATCACTTTAATCGATTCAATCTGATGTAAATGAAAGGGTTTTCAGTATGTTCTGATGTCCTGTAGCTGAGATTATTTTGAAATTTATCACAATAGTAGCTGTTGTATTTAGAAGTATAAAACATTTGGTCAGCATAAGTTTTACAAGTGCATCTCTCTTAGGATGAGGTCATTGCATTTGAAGTGGAATTTTTATTTAGACAGAACAGTACTGCATTCTGATATTTTTCAAGACCCTAATTTTAAACATGAGTAATGTCCAGGTGTAATGCTTATTTGCTTAAGCATCATTTCCATGCTCTTATCGGGTCTAATAATGATTTTGATAAAAGTAGTTTCTATTTGATTTGATCTACTACTGCATTCTGATATTTTTCAAGACCCTAATTTTAATCATGAGTAATGTCCAGGCCTAATGCTTATGTGCTTAAGCATCTCTCTTAGGATGAGGTCATGCTAAGAGAAATAGTAGTGTCCAGGTCTAATGCTTATGTGCTTAAGCATCTCTCTTATGTCCAGGTCTTAATAGTAGTTTCTATTTGATTTGATCTGTAGCCAAATTTCAAATTGCAAATATTGTTCATGCTTTTCGTTAAGGTTGATTACATCAATGCATTGCCTTAATTAGTTGACTTATTTTTAATGACTTGTAGATGCAAAACGTCCAGGTCTAATGCTTATGTGCTTAAGCATCTCTCTTAGGATGAGGTCATGCTAAGAGAAATAGTAGTGTCCAGGTCTAATGCTTATGTGCTTAAGCATCTCTCTTATGTCCAGGTCTTAATAGTAGTTTCTATTTGATTTGATCTGTAGCCAAATTTCAAATTGCAAATATTGTTCATGCTTTTCGTTAAGGTTGATTACATCAATGCATTGCCTTAATTAGTTGACTTATTTTTAATGACTTGTAGATGCAAAACGTCTCATTGGTAGAAGATTCTCGGATGCCTCAGTACAGAGCGATATCAAATTGTGGCCTTTTAAGGTCGTTCCTGGTGCTGGTGATAAGCCAATGATTGTTGTAAGCTACAAGGGCGAGGAAAAGCAATTTTCAGCTGAAGAAATTTCTTCCATGGTTCTCATCAAGATGAAGGAGATAGCAGAGGCTTTTCTTGGATCAACAGTAAAGAATGCAGTTGTCACTGTACCTGCTTACTTTAATGATTCACAGCGTCAAGCCACTAAAGACGCTGGTGTCATTTCTGGTCTAAATGTCATGCGTATCATTAACGAACCAACAGCAGCAGCTATTGCCTATGGACTAGACAAGAAGGCCACAAGTGTTGGAGAGAAGAATGTGTTGATCTTTGATCTTGGTGGTGGTACCTTTGATGTCTCCCTCCTCACAATTGAGGAAGGAATCTTCGAAGTAAAAGCCACTGCGGGTGACACCCATCTTGGAGGTGAAGACTTTGACAACAGAATGGTGAACCACTTCGTCCAAGAATTCAAGAGAAAGCATAAGAAGGATATCACTGGAAACCCAAGAGCATTGAGGAGATTGAGGACGTCCTGTGAAAGGGCAAAGAGAACACTCTCTTCCACAGCCCAAACAACCATTGAGATTGATTCCCTGTTTGAGGGTATTGATTTCTACTCAACCATTACCCGTGCCAGATTTGAAGAGCTGAACATGGATCTGTTCAGGAAGTGTATGGAGCCTGTTGAGAAATGTTTGAGGGATGCCAAGATGGATAAGAGCACCATTCATGATGTTGTTCTTGTTGGTGGGTCTACTAGGATTCCGAAGGTCCAACAACTGCTTCAGGACTTCTTTAATGGAAAAGAGCTCTGCAAGAGTATCAACCCTGATGAGGCTGTTGCTTATGGTGCTGCTGTCCAGGCTGCCATCTTGAGCGGTGAGGGAAATGAAAAGGTTCAAGATTTACTTCTTTTGGATGTCACCCCCCTGTCTCTTGGATTGGAAACTGCAGGAGGTGTCATGACTGTGCTCATTCCAAGGAATACAACCATTCCCACAAAAAAGGAACAAGTTTTCTCCACATACTCTGATAACCAACCAGGTGTGCTCATCCAGGTGTACGAAGGTGAGAGGGCAAGAACAAGGGATAACAACTTGTTGGGTAAATTCGAGCTCTCTGGTATTCCTCCTGCCCCTAGGGGTGTCCCCCAGATTACTGTTTGCTTTGACATCGATGCCAATGGCATTTTGAACGTCTCTGCTGAGGACAAGACAACTGGACAGAAGAACAAAATCACAATCACTAATGACAAGGGCAGGCTGTCTAAGGATGAGATTGAAAAGATGGTGCAGGAAGCAGAGAAGTACAAGGCTGAGGATGAGGAGCATAAGAAGAAGGTGGAGGCCAAGAATGCGTTGGAGAATTATGCCTATAACATGAGGAACACAGTAAAGGATGAGAAGATTGGATCCAAGTTGAGTGCCGATGACAAGAAGAAGATTGAGGATGCCATTGATCAGGCAATCTCGTGGTTGGATAGCAATCAGCTCGCAGAAGCTGATGAGTTTGAAGATAAGATGAAGGAGTTGGAGGGAGTATGCAATCCCATAATTGCCAAGATGTATCAGGGTGGTGTTGCCCCAGACATGGATGAGGATGCTGCTGGTCCTACTCCGGCCGGCGGCAGTGGTGCTGGCCCTAAGATAGAAGAGGTCGACTAAGCAATTTGGTTCTTTCTATTTTGTTCACGTTTGGACTTCGTGCTGTCTTTGCCTTTTGTATTTTTTTTGCATTCCTTTCATCATTAAGAACGCCGTACTTTCTTTTTAGAGGATATATGTCCTCGAAGATCTATCCGTTTTTGTTATCCTATATATATCAAGGGGACCATCTTTTTGCTATATGTCTCGAGCTATTTTGTTAGAATCCGTTCTTTGCAACTCGTGTACTTCCTACGGTTATATTCGTGCCTGACTAATAATCTAATATTGAGCAGGATTAAATCTTTTGCAGTTATTTGCATTTTGAATCAGTAGACTAAGATTCGGTTGCCCCCTTTAGAGCAACCGCAGGTTTTCTAGTGAAGATTAAGTGCGCCATGTCATCAATTAGGACATTTATGTATTCAATTTGGTATCCAATGCAGGTACTCTTCTGATGATGTGGCAAAAAAAAATTAAATAGTGTAAAGGGCAAGGTGCGCGCTGCTAGAACATGCTGACTAGGCTAAACCGATAAACTCATCTAAAAAACCTTCTTCTCTTCATTACCGCCGCTTCAGAGGAGATTGGATGTTCGACATGGACGGAGCAGCTCCTGTTCGGAGCTAATCATCTAATCGGCACGTCGTCCCTTTTCAAACAACCGTTGAAGGAGTGAATTTGGTGGGGGATTTAATCGCCGGCGTCGCCGCTACATATATGGAAGAAGCGGTGTACATGTCCTTCCGTCGGAGTCCGGCCTTCAGTTGTCCGGCACCACCAAGAGAGCTTTCAAGTCGTGTATCCTGCACAGTGCGATGGAAAGCTCTCTACCAGGAACAAATCCTACGCAATTGGTGTTGTAGCTAGGGATGGACCCGGGTCGGGCCCGGGTCGGGTCAAGGCCCGGTCGGGCCTCGGGTCCTATAACGGTAGGCTCGGGACCGGCCTGGTCAATGACCGGTTCCGGTTCGGGCCGGGTCACCCGCCCGGGTCACGGTTCGGGCCACCCGCCGGGCCGGGCCGGGTCAGTACAATTTTTTTTATTATTAATTATATATTATACAAATTGCTATTAAAAACAAAGTTCAAGTACATTTATTTGAAATAAGAACTACATTTGAGAATTGAGAAAAAAATAACAATACGAAATACATTTTGTAAATTGTAATGAATATCAATTGGGATTTCCGCCACCGTTGGTTGTCGTTTTCCCTTTGTCACAGGACTTCATATGTTTTATTGGCATCCCGTATCCGTATGAACGCCCCAAGCAACAGTCTTTCTTGCACCACCTGCAAGTTGCCCACCACAGTCCGGTCTTCGGGTCCTTCCACTTGTCAAAATTGTTTTGCATAAGGGAAGATGTACTTTCCATATTTAAAATGGTATATGTATAAGTAGGAATGTAGGATAATAAGAGAAGATGAAGATGGAGAAGAGTTTGAGAAGAATTGGAGAAAAGGTGTAGAAAAATGTTAGAAAATAGATGTATTTATAAATGTTTTTGAACCCCACTCCCCACACCACCACCCCCGGGACCCCCCTTCCCCCCACCCATAGCCCCAACGGCTATATAGCCGTTTGGGAGCTTTGAATTTTTTTTTTTTTAAAGTTATACACATATTGTAAAATAAATTAATTAATTTAATGAATTAAGTAAAACTAAAACAAATGTTACAAAATAGGTGTATAAGTATTTAAACAAATTACATATTCTAAATGTATTTTTAATTTAAAAACCGGCTTTATATTTTAGAAAAATAATTTTAAGTCGTTAGATTGTAACCAATTAATTAATTTGAGAAGTGCTACATATGAAAAAGTGAACACATATTTATTTGAAATATGAAGTACAAGTTTACAAATTAATTTGAAGTACAACTACAAATTTACAATTTTGAAATATGAAGTACAAGTTTACAATTTTGAAATATGAAGTACAAGTATAAATAAATTTGACAAGTGCTATAAAATACATTTTGTAATAAATTCTAAAATACTAATCAATCAGAATCTCCGGCATAGGTAGAGCCACCATCGGTTGTTGAGTCATCCATAAAATCTTGGGAGGGGGTGATGCTCAATTCTTGAGTTCTACGTGCGGCCTTCAACCAATCGTGGTAGCATATAAGCGTCTCAAGAGATTCCGCGCTCAATCTCGATCTAGATGCCGTTAGGACGTTGCTGGCCGAACTAAATTCTTGTTCCACAGCAACTGTTGAAACCGGCATTGATAGTACTTGCTTAGCCATCCGTGCTAAAATCGGGAACGTTCTTTCTTTTGACTTCCACCAGTCTAGAACGTCAAAGTCATCATTTTCTTCAAAATCAACTTCATATGTTAAATACAAAGTAATCTCATTCAATGCGCTTTGTTCAGTGACGTGAGTTGTTTTAGTTTTTTTCATAAGATTGCCAAATGCAGATTTAAAAATCGATTTTCCTTTAGATGAAGATGTTCGTGACGGGAGAGGGGGAGCGTTGCTATATTGTGCACGAAACTCATTAAATAAGGCATAAAATAAAGTACTAACCTCGTTGTATTCCGTTTTCGGATCTATGAGGTTATCCTCATACATTGGAAATTCACCGAAAAACGCAAGATAATAGAAGTTGAAACAATCTTCCAAATTAGCAAGTCTATAACGAGGATCGAGAATAAATGCAATACCATAAATATGGGGAATATGCGCATAATATTTTAAAAACTTTTCCTTCATATAATCACAAAAATAATGAACGAAAACGACATTTTGAAATTCTTTAAAAGCATCGGCGAGATTAACAGCTTGTGGAATAAATTGGTTTGCGGTAGGTTTATAAACATGACTAAAAGTTTCAGTAGCATTAAAAAAATATATCAAAACATTACAAATTTTTTCGCAAGTGTCGATCTCAGCCGCGTTTATAATATAGTTATCATGTTCTTTTAAAAAAGCAGGAAAATGTTCTTTATATCTAAGAACAACTTTAAGTAATTTATAAGTACTATTCCAACGAATACTCAAATCTTTAGGAAAAGCAACATATCTCACACCTCTTTCAGTCAAATAACTTTGACATTTTAATCTAAGTTGACCATTACCCCAAATACGTCTAACCCCCCCCCTTTATTACCTCCATGGAATCTCCTAACGCTTTTAAACCGTCTTGCACACATAAATTTATAACATGACATGCACACCGTTGATGAAAAAATCTACCCATCAAAGAATTGGTACCACACAACTCACGCAATCTAGGTATAGCAGCAGTATTATTAGTAGCATTATCGAAACCAATAGCAAACACCTTATCAATCAAATTATACTCAATTAAAATACGCTCAATCAAAATATAAATATGTTCAGCGGTGTGACGATCATTAAATTCACGAAAAGCAAGAACACGTTTATGCATATTCCAATCCTCATCAATATAATGTGCAGTCAGACCCAAATAATATAAATGATGAAAATCATCCTCCCATATGTCAGAACAAATAGTAACACGCCATCAAAGTTTGCAAAAAAATTTTGTAACCTTTCCTTTTCCGCATTATAAAGCCTTATTATTTCTTTCTTAACAGTTTTGCGACTATAATTTCTAAATTGAGGATTTAAACTACCTTGTGCATAATCTCTTAAAGCAAGACTTTCAGAAAACAAATAAGGCAAATTTTCTTCACAAATTAAGTTAGCCATACCAGTCAAATTTTGTGTATCATTGTAGGAGAAATTACCAAAAGGTTGAGAATTCGCAAACCTCGATATTTGAGTTTGCTTCCCCGTTCCGCCGCCTAATTTTGCATACTCCACGGGGTGCTTTGCCTTAAGATGCCTTGCGGCGGATCCGTATCCGCCGGAGGTTCCCAAACTATAATTGTTGTTGCACCACTTGCAAGTTGCGTGCCAATAGCCGGTTTGTGGGTCCTTCCATTTATCAAAATTATTTTTCATTAGTTCAGACTTACTTTTTTTATTACCGGTGGCGGTTTGGGATGAGTCAGGCGCGTCGGCGTCGTGGCTGCCGGCACCCTCCTCCTCGGCCGTCTCCGGTTCCAATTCCTCCGCATCTTCATCCTCAAGCTCCTCTTCGTCAATGGTCGTCGGCATTTGTTGTTGTTGTAGAAAGCGGTTATTATGTCGGGCCAATTCTTGTTGGAGTTGTTCTTCGGACATCGCATCTCCATCTCGCCTTTGGTAACCCGTTTCAAAATCATCTCGACTTTGAGATGAAGACCCGGCAAGTTCTTTACCTTTGCGGGATTTCTTCCTCCCAATCTCGTTTCTTCGATTGCGTTGGAGGTTACCCAAATCAACCGAATATCTACCACCTTCCATCTAAAAAATGTAACAAATATTAATTCACAACAAATATAATAATTGATACAAAACTAATGCAACTAATTAAAACTATTTTAATTAATACTTCAAACTAATTTTTTGCAAAGTAGAATTAATGTGTGTCTCTACAATTAAAATTATAGCAACTTTTGAAGTAAATAACTAGTACAAGTAAAAATGTAACAACAATGCTAATTAAGTAGTTAACTAGTATAGTGACAAATGTAACAAACTAACAACTAGTTAAATAAAATGTGAAGTATTTTAATTAGTATAATGAAAAATGTAACAAGAATGGTATTGAACTAATTAACTAGTATAATGAAAAATGTAACAAGAATGCTAATTAACTAATTAACTAGTATAATGAAAAATGTAACAAGAATGGTATTGAACTAATTAACTAGTATAATGAAAAATGTAACAAGAATGCTAATTAAGTAATTAACTAGTATAATGAAAAATGTTACAATAATGGTAATGAACTAATTAACTAGTATAATACTAGTTATAGTTAGTAATATATAATATAATGTTTATATTATATAATAAATAAGTATACTATACTATAAGATGTGTTAGGTCCCTGTTCTCTAGTCTAGAATATGTATGTATGGAAGATAGATCTGTGAATGAAGCTTTCCATTGAATGATGAAGAAGTTTACAGAATGATGAACAATTTAGCGTAAAACTTCTATCACGAGAATAGGCACTGCGGCACAGAGAATGTTGAAAAGCTTAACCTAGCCTTTCCCTTAAGGCATATATATAGCCTGACGGGAAAGGTAGGTTTTACAATCATTTGGGCTCCTTTTCCTAGGAGGCCCATACCTAAAAAGGTATAAAACCTTTATTACAAAATTGCCTTAAAAGGCCTATTCATTATTCTAGCTAATCTATTAAATTAAGATGCTAAATATAAATAGCTAAGAAACATTGATTACAATATAATGAAAATATCTCTAACAATCTCCCCCTTTGTGATCAGATGTTCTTGCTTCTTCTTTTCTTCACTTCTGAGCTTTAAAATAATGCTTTCTGAGATTTAGTGCATGCTCGTAATTTCTGAGAGACCTCCTTCTGTCAAGTTGTTTCTCGATAGCTTTCAAGATTTTATTGACTCTTTCCAATTCTTTGATTTCTTCCTTCGAGGCTTCATTCTGTCTCTTATCTAGCTCTTCTTTCCTTGGTTGGAGCTGTTCTCGGATGATTTGCAGGGTCCCATCACAGTATTTTTGAATGTCTTCAACAATCATCAGACGCTTCTCTTCTTTGTGATTCAGATAGATGACTGAGATGGGCTTGTCAAATGTATAATATGCTGTAAAGGTTTCAAGCCCAGGTCTATCCAAGTCCGGTCGTGTAAGATTCGCCTTTGAATAATTGTGCTCAAGAGTCATCTGGAGATCATGGGAGGCGTAGAACCGAACTTGTCTGGTCATGAATCTCTTAATGGCCTCAAAACCTTCTCTAGCAAGTCTGTCTTTGTGCACTGGGAGCTCCCTGCATCTCATGAACATTTGATAAATATCATCCATGTGCAGTAGGAAGAAGTCATTCTCTTGACAGGTGAACTCCGAGCCATCGGTACGTCGTAGACGAAAGATCAGGAACTTAATCGTTTCCAAGTAGTCTTCTGTGATATCCAGGATTTTCGATATAGGACATCCACTTGTTGCGAGATTATGATTTAGAACTTGTCTTCGTTCCCCTGTGGATCTGTGTCCTAGCATATACAGGTTACCTCCTCGGTATTTTCCTTTCAAGTGATTGATTCCTCGCATCTTTAATTCACTGAACTTCTTGATT